CCATTAACGCAGATCCCAGACAATTATCTGGGGAGGGGAGAGGAAGAACCTTAACAAATTGCCCTCCTGTCTTCAAGGCTGATTTTCCAGTGGGCAGCTGTAGGGCAAATTTGACATACCCATGAGCAGGAGAAAGGGAATGCCTTTCTGCTATTGCTGGGGAGAAAGGTGTGGGGGCAGCTCCCAGACCCCTTGGCTATGCAGCATCACACATGAGAGCCAAGTGCCTCATGAAGGCAGCAGTGATGTGGGGCAGGGTCACCACCCCTGGGCCAGGGAAGTGTCAGACTTTGACTCCCAGCCTGATTCAGTGGCAAAGCCAGGGGTCCCAGTGGGTTTCCTTGGGCATTTGTCCACTCAGCAGCTGGAGATGTGCTGTCAGACACTGCCCTGTCTCCAGAGTTCCCCTGGGCTGTGCCAGGGCCATGCTTGGGGACTCTGGACCTTTAGCACTCATTGTGGTCCTCCTTGGCCAGCTGGGATGGCAGAGGGAATGCCCTCCTGGCAATGGGATTGTCCCCCACTCCTGCCAGGGACACCCCACAGCTGCACCCCTGGGGCCAGCAAGGGGTTGCACACACTGACTGACTGACAGCAGCTCTACCAAGCCCCCGTGCAGATGCAGAACACGAATGTAATATGCTTTCCTGCTCTGACAGTAAGTTAAAGGCCCTTCTCGCTTCCCTCCTGTCTTAATGACTTAATATTTCCTCTGCCCCCTTACTTAGCTGTGCCCCCATCACTCCTGTGTTTCCCTCGAGGATTCCATGCATGACAGCAACCCCTTCACCAAAGGCAGCTCCCCCATTGCTCACCCTGTCGTCTGCTGGAGTGCAGCACTGATGGCATTGACCAACCCAAGGTTTCCCCAGGCAAGGCATTTCCCCCAGGGATGCTCAGCCTTAACTAAACCCAGTCGTGTCCTTTCCAGGGCCCTCTCTGGGAGGGGTGGGCAGGTAGCACCGGTGCAGCCCCACCCCCGGCAGCAGTCCTGGCTCATGGGCTTTTCTGCACACACACACACGTGTGTGTCACACAGGAGGTCCCAAACTCATAATCCTGTGTGCAAGACCATTCCTGTTGCCTTTGCAAAAACACTGCATTGCATCTTAGCTGGTGCAAAATAGCCATTTGTGCTGGAAACAGCTTTCACTGACTCCCTGGTCAAGTCAGCAGGATGCTGGCTGTCTTTCCCTGGGGCTGCTGGAGTTTCCTTAGGGAGCAAAGAGACCCAAGTAGAGGTAGGCTCACCTGCAACTGAGCTGTACTGTAAACGTGGGGGACTCACACAGGCTGGCTGGCACACGCTGCAAAGGGATCACCTTGGCACAAGCTCTTCAGTGTTCTGGCCTGTGGCCCCTTTGTGGCACCGTGGCGCAGGTGGTGCTGCTTGGTGGCTGAGAAAAATCGAGTGGTTTTCTGAAAGGAGGGTAGACACCCATGTCTCAGTGGTTGGAAATACATCTCTGACCACTTGGAAAGTTTTTTTGCTACATGAAAGGCTGGGGCGCGAAGACAGGGCCTTCTCCAGACTGTAGCACCTCTTGGCTTTCCTTCCAGTACAGCTCATTTATTTGGTTTGGCACCAACTAACCAAGCCATGTAGCTGCCAGGTTCACCATGTATAAGGAGCTGCTGATGTCAGGAAGAGCTTTTGGCTGCAGGAAAACCCTGCAGATGTTGTCCAGGTGGTTCTGCTCTCCATGAGCATTTAGGAACAGTCAAACCGTGTAACAATTTAATGATGATTATTTTTCTTTCAAAACATGGCCTAAATTTCTATCAGGCATTGGAGCAGAAGCACAGAGCGACATGCAGTATGAAGGCTGGGTGAAGTGTGTGGTATGTGCTGGCAGCAGAGAACAGAGAAATGCCAGAGGAACAGGACCTGGCAAAGTGCGGAGGGGACTGGCACACCAGACCAGCTTGGAAGTAGCTGGCAGGCTTCTCTGTGCAGCGTTTTGCACTACACTCCTTGTCAGCCAGCCAGCAAGGCCTAGCAGAGGGAGAGGTGTTGCCTGCCCACATGTAAATTCTAGTGCTTCCCACATTGCAGAATTTTGACTCAGGATCCAGCTGGGGCAAAAAGAGATTCGTGTCACCTCCCATGCAGATGACTTGGTGAGTTAGCTGTGCCTTGCTCATCCCTGCCCTATGTGCTCCCTAACTGTGCAAAGAATCACCACCTGTGGGTGCCTCTTCCAGAGCTGTCTCCCAGCCAAATCAAGGCAAACACATCCAAACCTACTCACGGACTCATGTTTCCCCTCCAGATGCTCTGCATTGTGCTGCTGAATGGAAATCTCAGGCCTTGTCCAAAAACGGGCTTACACCCCCTCACCTGAGTTAAGGGGCATTCAGTTGCCCAGGGTACAACCTGCTCCTTCCCTCTCTTGCAGTTCCTTGGCTGTATGCTGCCAAGGAAGGACACAAGAGGACACATGGGCCCTGCTGACACCATGCCCAAGCCTACTCAGGGCAGGAGAAAAGTGGTTTTCCTTTGCCTACAAACCTGCTCAGCCCACCAGGTAACCTCAGAGCATCCTTGAAGTCCATTAACACTATTAGAGGCTGCTCTTTTCCTTGCCAATTTATTGCTTCCACATCCCCTCCTACCTCTCTGCCACAGCCTTACCCTTGCCACCTTGCTGCCTCTTCTTGGCCTGTACCCACTCTCTCTCTGTACCTACACATTTCTCCACAGGTAAGTTGTTAACCTCTCAAGATTTTGAAGAAATCCCAGATGTGCCAAAAGAAGAAGCAGAGATTCTGACTCCTGTTCAGGCATCTCTTACCCCTAACAGGTTTTTATTTATGTGGGAATTTCTACGGGGTTTGCAAGGGAGTCTTCCCTATTTTTTTTGCAAACCTCTGAGCCACTTACACTGCTTGTTCACCTTGTTGTCTGATAGAGAGAGAAACCTCAGTCAAGTTGCCTTAATACTTATTTTATTTAAAGAATCAGAAACACAGTCATTGTAGTTCATTTGTACTCATATCTGCCAACATTTCCTAAACCACGTTAACATTCATGTATAACAAAAACATTTTCGAGCTGTGCAAAGTTCAATGGAATTGTTCAATTACTTGAACCCATTTCTAGAAGAACAAACCTGGCATTTTACAAACTGAGGCCACCAGAAGGAATCTTTCCTTTTCCCCGCCCTGTTGCAGGAGATGGAGATGCCCCCTCCTCACTCTTTTCCTGGCATGACAGGTAAAAACCAGACCACAGTATGAGTCAAACCTCTCTCAGGACTTTCTGAATGGCACTGGGTCATGTTTTTGTATCACTGGGCTGTATTAAGTTCATCTTAATACTTGTGCTCCTGGCATGGAAGTTATTTGTCCAAGAAGATTACTCAGTAACCCAAACTGTGATAAGCAATAAAGAGGATCCAGAAACAGCTGCTGTCAAAATAGAACACCTCCTCCCCCTTCCCCCCATATTTTTCCTAGAAGAAGGTATGACTGGAAGGGTCGTTGACCATTCAAAAAGCCATCATCCTCCTTGCAAAATATGTTTTAAAGCACTGATTTAATGATATGACATCTGCATGTTTTCCTTGATCCTCTCACACACCAACTTTTGTCCTCTTAGAGTTAAGCATAAACTGGTAGAAATCTGGAACCATTTTAGACCTGGCGAAACAGAATAGGCAGTATGCAAGCTGCCATCCTGTTTCATTTTTCTGACTGTAGTAAATAGCCATGGAACAGAATTTTAAGAGCGTTTTAACCACTGTAAGTTGTCAGAAAAAAATCTCATCTCTGACAGATCTAACCCAGAATTTTTATTGGAATCAATAACACGAATTTTGGCATTGCTGACTGCCTAACTGTGCAGTTTACTGTTTGAGATGCAGTGACACCAGTTCTGACCTGGACCAAATAAATGCAACAGATATGGCTCTAATCTCAAGCAAGTCTTTCCAGAAGACATTTCTTCAGTGTCTTATTGGTTATAAAAAGGCAATTTCCTCTTAACAGTAACTAAATTTTTAGTGACTGACTCATTACAATCTGGAATATTAACAAATGCGGCAACATCAAGTATAAAAAGAAACACCCTGAAAGTGATGCCTCCCGGTTTGAAGGTGCTATACTTGGCCATGAACTGTGTTTCTGAAATCGGTTTGTTAACATGTGACAGCAAGAAGAACTCATTTTACAGAGAACAAAGTCACAGAGCTGAACTTAAACAGGAATGCTCACTTACATGGGTTTTGATATGTACTGGTACACACGGCTTGAATGAAAACTTACACCTTCACATATGAAATACCGGTAACGCAATGATGATGCTCACCCACCGGGCCTCTTTGTTTTAATAAGATCATCTCCAGGTTACAGTGCCTCCAACACGCTTTTAAACACCCACCACATGTGGGCTTTGGCAAACAGCCAGCTGCTGTCAGAGGCAAGATATGGATACAGCTATGAAAGGCCTTTCAACACAATTCACTCCTCAAGAGCCGATGTCTTTTTAAATACTCTCAACAACTGCATTATGACTTTTTTTCTCATTCTTTTTCATACAAATTACTGGCTAAACTCACCTTGCATTTATTGCACCTTTAAGTCCCTGGTAGATGGAAGCTTATATTGCCTGATACAGTTTGTATTGTAGCTTGACGACGTTAAGAAATCCAACAGTCTCCAGAACTGTACATTTCTACAGTAAGAAATCACATTTCTATAACACTAATTACTGCTGTCACAGATCAGCTCTCATCTCTGTCATGCAACGACAGAGGAAAACTCCATGGTCCCTGTGTGTGCTAGAACCTGCAGTGTTCTTCTTATTGCCATGAAAAAGTCAATTAAAACGACTCCTCTGGGAATGACTTCCAATTCTGGAGTCATTATCACTCTCCAGACAGAATGCTGTGCTTCAGCATGGGTCTTCAGCCACTCTAAATATGTAGAAGAGAGCAAGCATGTGTGTGCTCCACAGGCAGCCCCCCAGGTATATTTATCGGTGACCATGCAGCTTTTTCTCTTTTCCTCTATGATGCAAGAACAAGCAGTCTGATCTCAATCTTCAGGTATGTTTCTAATTTCATATGTTGAATGTAAATCTTGTTGCAGCCTCTCTGTTTAACCAAATCTTTAACAATTAAAAAAAATAGCACCAGATGTATGAAAAAGAGGAAATGTCTGATCTAGTAGGAATATATATAAAGTAGAGCAATTCTTACAGTAAAAAGGTACGTCGTACAAAAAAGCAATGGAAAGTGATACCGAAGGACAAAAATCCATGCTGCATATAATAGGGGCAGAAGACAGGCAAAAGGGATTCTGCTCAAATAACCACAGTTTAATGGTGGAGCCGTGCTTCTTCCAGGACCTCCCTGGCAGCAGTGCCAGGACACGGGGTGATGTGGCACTCTGAGTACTTAACACCAACACGCACCAACAAACCTGCGCAGCATATCTTTGAGGTATATAGAAAGCATGACATTAACATTTTGGACTCCTCATTCTTACTTGCACAATGATGCACTGATCTTTAGCTGGGGTTTTCTCCACCCTCCCCTCTTCTTCCCTTGGTAAAAACAAAATCCCAGTTTAAGAGCTTCCTAGCACACCTCCTTGAACTCTCAAATCTGTCTTGCATAGGCCAGTAATAAGAACACTGCAGCTCTGACAAATAAGTTACAGCAATATAACAGCTTTCCTCTTAATTTTTTTAAAGATATCTTCTCTATAATTTACACAAAAGGTTAACAGCCAGAGTTTAGTTACTACAGTCCAGATGGGCATCCTTTTAGTCTGTGATTCCAGGTGGAAGGCACTACTTCAACATACCACTGTATGCACCGCACACGGTCTCGGGAGCACAGCGGGGCACTGTGTCTCCAGAGCTGCAGACTGAAGGGCCTGGGGGAAGTCTTTGGAAATAAAAATGGCAGTGGTTATCAGTCTGGTTTCTCTTTGCTGTCTCTTGTGCTATGCAGTTTCCCCTGAAAGCTCCTCAGTTGAGATGGGCGGCGATTCGTCCTCAGAAGCTCTCGACAAAGCTCCCGGGGAAGAGGCCCGTCCTGCCGTTCCTCTGCAACGTCCCTTTGTACCAGCCGTCCTCCCGTTTCTTGTGCACAAACACAATGTCACCTTCCTTCAGTTCGATCTCTGCCTCGCTCTGCGGTGGGTATGGGACCACAACGCGGTACCTTTGGGAAAAAAATGTGCAAAGACTTGGTTAATCTGCACTTAATGGGAGCAGCTAGGCACCAGTACCAGAGATCTTGGGTAAAAAAACTTTTGGAAATATCTATAAGTTACATTTTCAAACACTAGTTGTAGGCAATGCAGCTACATTTTCTACTAAAACTGAGTAAGATGGGAATTTCTGGCCGGCTTGGCTGGACAATTGACCAGGATGTACTCTGAAGCCAGTCCATGAAAGCAGGAATGTGTTGTCAAATGGATGGACCACTCATGGTGTCCCTGCTCCTAGCTGTGTGCTGAGCCTGTGCCAGGACTTGGCTGCTTTATCCTAGTGCTGCATCTCTGCTGTTACATCTTATTCAGCTCTGCATTTGCTCCAGCCAAAAATCATAACATCACAGAATGACAGAACAGTTTGGGCTGGAAGGGACCTTAAAGGTCATCTCGTTCAACCCCTCTGTCAGAAGCAGGGACATTTTCAATTCAAGCAGGTTGCTCAGAGCCCATGTGTCAACCACATAAATCCCGTCATCTATGTTATTGATGAAGATATTGAACAGCACTGGTCCCATTGTGGACCCCTGAGGGACACCACCTGTCACCAATGTCCATTGGGACATTGAGCCATTGACCACTACCCTCTGGATGTGACAGTCCAACCAATTTCTGATCCACCAAACAGTCCAACCATGAAATCATCCTCCTCCAGTTTAGAGAGAGATGTTGTGAGGGACCATGTCAAAGACCTTACAGAAGTCCAGACAAATGATACGCTCTCTTCCCTTGTCCACTGATGATGAAAAATGGGGATTGCAATGCACTGCCTGTGACACCAGTAGACGTTAGCTAAAGCAGTTCACATTTTTCTTCTTATAATGTTTCTTGAGAATGTACTTTGGGTCCCTCAAACCTGGAAGGGAAGCTAAAATGGAGAGGTATCAAGTGACTTTCAAAGCACTCTCCAAACCAACGGGGAGCCCCAGTCCTGAACCATTCACAGGGCTCTCTGGGAACTTAGTTTTCAAGTGTCACTTCATTTCAATGAAGTAATGATGTGTCTGAGCCTGATACAGCTATTCTGCACTCAGAGCTTATCAGCAGGCGTCCTTCTGAGAGCACAGACTGGGCCATTTTCTATCGATGCACTTGTGTGCAGAGGAGGGAATGTATTTCTACTGCACGGTTGTTTTTTTTTTTCCTTCAGCACTTCTGCAGTTATCTGGCATTTGGTTAACAGTCAATAACTGTCTTGCTAATTGCAAAGTAATGAATATAGTAAGATAGTTAAAAGTTGCCAATTCATTACCTCAAGCCCATCTCCTGAGAATTAATATATTCACAACTGCTGCCTGGCCACCAGTGCCTGAGTCCTGTTTGTTACAAGGTGAATATTTATTTAAGATAATATCCTGTCCCTGGGGACTTTAACATGCCCTGGAGGCTGTGGACCACACCCTGAAGCCATCCTCAGTGAAATACTACCAAAGCAAGGGGCTCTCCAGTGGCAGTCACTCATTTTCTTTGCAGGCTTTGCTCAGGTGCCTAGTGACTTCAGTTCTGAAACTAGGCACTCCACCTTGGCATAACACTGGAAATACCAGCTATGTCTGGACATCTCCATAGCCAAACAACCCATTACTTGGAAAAGGATTAAACTCCATTTGGAGCAAGGGTTCTGTTCTAATACCTGACTATGACTTTTTTATCTTGACAGAGCAATACAGTCGTGAAAAATATATGTGTTAAAGTGCCATCAAAAATTTGCCGATCCTCTCTGTACCTTAGTTAATAAATCTAGTTGTCACTTCCTTCCTCTGTGGAAAAGCAAATAACAGGGGTTGAAACGTGTGCAGGAAAATGGTCTATCAAGCTATCATCTGTGGAACTGCTACACTTATAATACGAAGCTTTGCCAATTACACTCATTATGCAAATGAATGCACACATTATTTCAAACACTCTGCTGCAGTGTTGATTAATTAAATTATCAGAGTGGAACAATTTCAGCTAAGATGATGCCAAATTTCAGATCTCACTACTCTCATGCACAATCACAGTACATTGGAGCTCTGCATCAGGAACTCAAGAGGCCCTGAGAAAGAAAAAAAGGTTGGACCTCAACATTAGTTGAGTGCTGTGGAGGCATTCACAGACCGTTCTGGCAAGTCAGGAAACAGAAACTCAGAAAAAGGTGGTGTCTTGGGCAGGGTCACTCTGAAGACCCAGCTGGGACTGCCAGCAACTCCTGTTATAGCAAAAGCACAGACACATCCTTTTAAAGCAAAACTACATCCTCAGAGTGATGAGCTACTAGTCCCTAAATGGTTCACATGAGGAGACAGGTGACCACACTCAACAGGAATGCACCCACTGTCATAAAAGAGGTTCTACATAGCATCTTCTTAGCAATTTAGAGAAATAAATCTCAGTCACTGCATTATGAAATGAGGCATTTTTTTCCCACTCGGGAAACCCTAAATGCTATGGTTTAAATTTAATTAGCTACAGTACCTCACAAGACAGTACCAAAGAGGTTTTTTATAGAATAACAAAATACTAGCTACGAAAGACCTTGCAAATCACTTAAGAACTCCTCTGTGAGAGATGGGAAAAGATGCGATGCCTTTTCCCACGAGAGGTTTGAAGCGGAGCCTGGGAGAGGCAGCCCGCTGGGGGCTGCAGGGGCAGCATCCCGGCACTGTCCCGGCACAGGGAGCTGTGCCGCCCCTCCGCACCTCCAGGTGGCACCTCAGCCTCGCTTATCCTCTGGAATGGAATTGCAAGGACAGCTATTACCCGTATTTTTTTGGCAGAAAAGGTCTCTTCTCCCAGACATCCTCCCTCACTCCCAAAAAGGCAGTCCAGGATGCTTCTATTTATATCTCCCCTTTTGTCCCCTTTTCGAGAAGATGCTATAAAACTGTAGGTTTTTCTATACCAAACTGTTGCTTGGCACTTCAGATGGATCTCAGTCTTCTCAATTTTGTCTGTGTCACATTCCACCTCTAAATTACCAATTTTCAAAAATGCTAATTAGCTGGGCAACAATTATAATGACAAGTATGGCAACCACCTTTGACCACTATTAACAATATTTGGTATTTTCTGTTGTAAATTGTGAAAATCTGTCTTATATAGTTACATTTCTGCCAAATGTTAATCATTTTGGCCCAAATTCTCTAAAGCAGTTGGCTGTATCAAGGTGAGGGTCCAACACACAGCCCAATGGCCTCATCACTTCCAAGAATGATATGAGGGGTTTTGCAGCCCAGCAGGACCCCTATGAGCACTTCCACAAACTGCTCTCAGGTCCTATATATGGGAGCAAAGACCTGTCCTGTGGTCCCATTGGTCTGTCAGGGATGGTGTTCCTTCAGAAAATCACCCACTCTCAGCCAGGTTAAAAACATTCAAACCACTGCAAAATGGCACATGTTTAGGCTTGTATGAGCACTGAAAGTAAAATCTCTGCTGATTCATGCTCCAAGCTGTCCTAGCTCTGTGGGACCTCAGAGACTGCATGTCTCTTCCTTTCTTATCACTGGGCCCCTCTTGTATTTTTCTCCTAGGGGATAGACTTGATGTTGGGACATGCCCACTGCTGGTTGCTGTGGCATCCTTGGATTGGGCACTTCGTCCCTGGAGGCTACTGTCCATGATGGGCAGAGGCCTGGGAAGGGTCCTTGGTGCACAAGATATAATACATGAGAAGAGGCTGCAAGTAGGATCAGCAAGGTCAGGGGATGGGGGAGCTGGAGAATGGGGTAAAATAAGGGATGAGGTGGAGGAAGAAGGAGGCTGATGGGAGAAAAACTGGGAGCAGAGGAAGAAACGTGACTGTGATGAAAACTGGAAGCCTGGATGGAAGGTGTGGGTATGGCTGCTGATGGGGGAAAGCTCTGCTGAGCTGAGTCTGGGAGAGCAAAAAGCCTTGGTAGGACGGAGCCTGGGGCAGGGACATGGCATCCCAAGAAGTAAGTGACTGAATCAGTAGAGGCTGGCAGTGGGGCTGAGGGTGGGATGGGCACTCTGGCAGCAGTTATCTCACTGAGCTGGGAATAGGTCTGTCCTCTGCAAAGACCTTGCAATCCCCCTGTCCCATCTTCATAGCATTTGTTTTCACAGCCAAAAGAAACACCTCTCCCACCCAGCCCTCCCTTTGATACTACTACTGAAATCTGGAAGGTGCAAATAAGACTCCTAACCTCAGATGTCACATGATGGAAGTTCTGGTTTTGTTTCTTTTAAAGAAGCAAAATGATTAAAAATATCATGTGTGTAGATACATAAAGATATCTACAACCTTAAAAGAACATGGGTGTTTTACACCCATGCATCTGAGATGAAGAAAAAGTCAAATAAAATTGTCCATGACTTTACTTTTGCTGCCTTGCAACATAATCTTTTATTATACGATTGCATGCTATTTTTCCTGTAGGATGCCTGTTTCATTTAGTGCACAAGATGGTGCTCTGGATGTGAGTAAAGGCTCTGACATGGGAGCCACCCCACCTTTTGCAGAGGTTGAAATATCTCTAGCAAGTGACCATGACGAAATGCACTGAGTAGTGCAGATGTGGGGAAAGTGGCTTCTCTGACTCCTTCAGCTGTAAAGCCTCGTGCCACACTTTCCACAGAGAGAGACTCATCTCATGCACATTGGCTGTGTAGGAGTCCTGTCTGGTCTAAATGACTCACACAGGCCCTCTGTCAGCGTGCAGGCAGGCACTGAACAGCATTGATCAGAACTGATCAGAAATAAATGGCTGAACTCAGCCATGGACACTAAAAAAACCCCAAAATATTCACTGAATGTACTCAGGACACTGATGGAACTAGAGCAACTTAAGAAAATGCGCAATGAGGCAAATTAGATCAGCAGGGTTGATCTCCAATCTGATCCCGTTTAGAATGCTTGAATTTGGATGCTTAATGCAAGTTCCCGTTTCTCAAAGTATCATGCACTAATGACAGGCTGCATGAGTCCAGTCCTGCGACTCCA